GCATGGCTGGTTCAATGGCGAGAGCCCCAAGATGCTAGCCAAGAGGGAAATCAAACGTCGCAAGAGTGCGGGTGAATTGTTGGATAAGGGGAGTTATCCTTGATATTCCTCGTCTATTTTCTCTCCGACACCTTGTTGTCGTCGTCGATGTCGTCGTTGCTATATCTCTTCCTAGCAAAGATTATGTTGTACCCACCTACTTCTCATCAATGTCCCTTGTCCCTTCCTCTACCTACCCTTTTTTTCGATGGGCTATAAGAGGTTTTTATTCCTTCCCCTTTTTCAACATCATAACATTTTTTGGCAATTACACCTGGGGAGTTTGTTCCAACTTCACTTTGCTTTTTTTGCTACTAGCGGGAGGCGCTGTGTGTTTTTTCTTCGTTCAATCTTCTTCATCATAACTTTTTTTGTCGGTCTCTTGGGACACTTTTTTTGGGCAGCAGGCGGGTGAATTTTTTTCCAAGGCAGCGGCGGGGGGTTTTTTTTCTGGGAGGTTCTTACCTCTTTTTGGATTTTTTTTTGAAAAAAACCATAAGTACGTTGTGAAATGATGGAAGGCAACAAACCACATACGTGTGGTGTGGGATGTTTGGAAATGTCGGATATTGGGGGTTTGGGGTGGCGGGGCGGGCAACGGGATGGGAATTGGGAAAGTGCGAGAGAGAGATAAAGATGGGGACAGTGTTTTTACTTTAGATTTTTTTTTACTTTACTACTATTATTATTCCCGGGAACAGCACCAAAAAATAAGAGGATTTTTAACATGTTCATTATTGTGTTTTTTACTTTGCAGCATTTGCCTTGGTTTGTTCCCGTTGTCATTATATCAGGGTCTTTGGTCGTCATCATCGTATCCGGCTCTTTGGTTCGTTTCGCCTTTTCATCGTATTTCGGTAGTAATCGAGGTGCATGTGTGGAGCTTTCGAGATCGAAAAGTGGGTCGTGAGTTTTAAGTTGTTATGTGGGGAGGTGCAAAAGATATGTGGGGGGTGGGGGGGGGCATTTCGGGGTCGCCGTGTCTCTTTTTTCCTGTTCAATTTCGCATATACGAGATAACACCTTCCCCACCACCCCCTTACCGTATCTTTCGCTTTTCTTAGGAGGGAAGAGGGAAGAGATAAGGTGAAGAGAGGAGGGGATTTTGGTCACGCCATTATCAGGCCGTTTTTTCTCTCTCCTGGGGTTCGCGGGAAAAAGGGGGACTAGGCGGCTGGGAAGGGGGAAAAGCTGGAGATGATTTGGGGTTAATGGAGGGCTATGGGGCTGGATCTAGGGGGAAGGGGGTCTGAGCGTTATGTAAGTAGTTGGGACTTAGTTTATATCCTTTGTTGTGTGAAAAAATCTATATATTATAGAGGTTTTATTACAACTGAGGTGTGTTTCTTACCGACTTAATTCTAGTGCCTAGAAGAGTTCCCTAGCCCATGGGGGAAAAGGGTCGGAGTTGAAGTACGCGCCCACCCCCCTTGCATCTTGCTCGTTTGCGGGGAGGTGGCGACTAGGTGGTGTGTGTTGGGAGTGCCCCCAGACTACTACTTACTAGTTCGTTTGTCATCGTAACGCACGGTGCTTAAGACAAGTAAGGGTGGATGAAGTGACGAATGGGGCGAGTTTGTAGAAAAAAGAGAGGGAGTATGGAGATGGGGAAGCGTGGTTCGTTTGATGCATACATGTAGATATTGGAAAGCTAGTGTATAAAGATGTGTATCGACATATTACTAACGCAAAACTTCCGCCTCTTTGAATTAGCTCTCTTTACCGCCTGTATCGTATATAGAATTCTACTACTGTGGCCGTCTCTATATTTCTCTATCTACTTTCCCCTCCAACCTGATCGCTTTGTAGCGTTATATAGGGAGTGTGGAAAAGTACTCCTCTTTTTACCTATTCCTAACTACTACTAAAATTCTTGTACGGACCACTCTCCACGTACTATCCATGACATCTGTATATCGGCTGTACGGGCAAACGCGCTTCCGTACGCCCCTCTGAAACAGTAGTGTGTATATTGATATGCTTGCTTGTCCATACTAGTACTAGGAGAGAACTCAACCTTGCTCATCGTCGTATAGTTATCTACTTTAGCGCTTACAAGAGACGGGGCAAGGACCATGATCTACTTACTCGGGAGGTACTCGGCGGGACGGAATTGCCAACCAATTGAAGATGTCGAGTAATATTCAAAGGTGGAGCTTTGACAAACTTTTATCCTAATTTGGGACTATTAGGTATGTGGTGATTGAGTACGATCTTATTCATCTAAGTAAAGGTCGTTCTTAGCCCGCCTTGGAAAGTAGTCAAGGGCCTATTCTATTTAGTCACTATTTTCTAGCTACTAAACTATAATAATGTTACGGACTATCAAGAAAGGAAGGACCTCCCGCCTTCACAAAAGTTAAGAGTAGGCTGTGAAACGGTGGAAAGACCGCAGGAAAGGAACCCTGTACATCACGTAACTGCTCACTAATAAGCAGCGCTCGTTATCAAGCAAGACCTAAAGCAATTACTAGTGAGCATATGCACTAATCAGGATGTAGCATCATAGTTAATCATGAAGTGCTTAATACTAAGCACTTTACTGATTAACATCAAGTAACTCCACTTCTTAGTATATAGGAGACACATCCACTCAAGCTATACTCTTAACAGCAAAGGAGTGTATCCCAACCGCTTAGAGTTAGTTATTAAATCTATGTTTGAGTTGCTAAAGCTACTTAAATGCATGTGCTCTTTTCTAAAACTCCACTTACTCTATCACTATGGAACACTCCTCTACAGGAGAAAGATGTCGATGCTAATTAGGCGGCACAAGCTGTTGAAGATAGGTCAGCATGGAACGAGGTACTAGAAATGTAAAACCTACTGCCAGGGCTCGATGGGCAGACCCCAAAAGAACTGTATCCAATACATTGGATATAGCAATCGCCAACAACTCGCCCAAAACTGCCCTCAACTGGTCGTTTCGGACAGTTAAAGGCCTCAGCATATGGATTGCCACTACCAATTGCCTGAGTACCACATGATTCTCGAATACAGCCTTGCATCCATCCATTAATGATATCTCGGTGCCGAGCGTACTGATCTTTGTTGCAAGGGCCCTTTTTAGACTTGTTCACATCAGAAAAGCAACACATGAGGCTGCCTGCAATAAGTGTTGGACTTATAAAGAGTATCAAGAACGACCGCATAGTGAATATCGTGATTTGGAAAAAGAAGAGACTGCTAAGAATATCCAGGTAAAGGTTGAACTGAATTAAAGAAGTAGTTGACAAAGATTCCGTTCTAACGAAAATATATATGCAACTTTTGATCTAATTAAGGTTCATTTGAATTCAAATCAAACTTTAATACTAACATGGCATCGTTTTTTCCATCACTTTCATCGCTTATCAAGCAAGTGATACGCATCTCAAAAATTCCGAGCCGCTCTTCGGTATAATCTACGGTGCTACACGGCACAGTTGATATATGTGGGTCCGCTAGCATGAGATAATATAAGCCGCGGTAGAAAGTAAGAGCTGTACTATACAAAGTTACAATTATCAAGAAACAGCGTAGTATTTTTTCCTATAACAGGGGATATGAAAGAAGATCTTAATTACCGTCTTGGCGTCTCCATAGTACAAAGCTTGTAACATGCAGCACAAGTACCAGTACTGCCTCGCTTCGGCTCTGACTTAGTAAGCCTTAGAAGCCAGTTGTTTTCTAAGGTTTGAGCTGGCTTTTTTTATCTGACATAATGACGAGGATGACGTGATCTTTTGTAATTACTGTAAGTAACATGCAACCTCTGAGACTAGATCTATGTCAAGGCTCAAAAATGGAGGTGTACAAAAGACCTGCTTCTCCACTATTTTCAGGGAAGACAACATTCATTCAATCTACATTAAGGTAGTTTCACTATCCACACCACTGTTACCATCTCATCTCCACAAAAGATGCAGTTCTTCACTCTAATATTCTTTTCGCTTACCGCATTACCGAGCTTTGCGAATCCAGCAGGCGATTGCAATCCAAGATACGATCCTCGCTGCTTTATCAATCCCCCCCGGCGTCAGTGGCAAGCATCCTTTACATTCGACAGAAACATCATCGACCTCTACCGAAACCCATACGAGATTAATCTGCGGCATTTGCACATCGCCGTTGTTGCAACCACCGCCGGCGGCGTTGATTTTGTCATCACAGCCAACAGCGACATGCCCCTTAGGGTTGATAATGTTTTGTACCGAGCTACGTTGGAAGGGATAAGCCGTCCTGGATCATGGTTTCCTCACAACCCAAACGATCCTATCCACCGCGTGTCCTTTACACCTCTTGAAATACATTCGCTTCCACCCACCTCAAGTCACACTCTCCACTTTACGTTTGAGGTCTCCGAGGAGAGTGAGCTTTAAAGCGTAGAAAAGAACATGGAGTGGAGGCAAGCATTCAACATGATTACTGGAATATCGAAATGCCGTTCGTAAGTGGCGCTGTTAAAAAGCATAAACTCTGAACTCTTTCTTATGCTAATTTTTATTCAAAGTGAAAGCAGTGGTCTCGTGTGCTCAAATGCTAAGTAACATACCTTGCTTGGATACTTATTTTTACGAGCTGCTCCGATTGTAGCAACGTTATAAAGAAATTCTCATAAGAAATGAAATGTTAGGTATAAGAGATGATATTTGATAGAGAGCTGTCGAACTATGAGCGGGAAAGACTCTATCTAAGCACGGATTGGAGAAATAAGCCTCTATTCGTTGTATACTAGTTATGTAGTATTATTCTCAATCTATCTACGCATGCCTATCTCTAATATGCTAATACTAGAAGAGAGTGGAAGTAGGATAAGAGTCTTAATTATCTTGTTTCTCGTATGATTGATTACACTCACCACAGAATGCTGATTCATCTAAATTTGCTCATGATACTCCACCGGTAGGTCCTTCTGCACCAGCTCTGACAACTTCAAAGACTATCACTATCGCCTTCAACCTTGCAGCTCAAACACTTAGTCAAAAGTTGAAAGCGTTCTTGTACACCTTCTTCTCCTTCTCCTTCCTCGCCTGAACCTTCTTCTTGATAAGATCTTGCTCCTTCACAATCGCCGCATCGCCTGGCGCATACTTTGCCGCTTCCTTCAGGTCAGCCAGCGCCTCATCCTCGTTCTTCCTAGCAACCTTTGCTTGGGCACGCCTGAAGTAGGCTTTGGCCTTGTCCTTGTCGGTGATTCCCTCAATATCCAGTGCCTTTGTCGCGCTCTCTATCGCCTCGCCGTACTTCTGTGTCTTATTCTGAAGTAGGGCGCTGTTGGAGTAGAGCGAGATCTTTAGGGCGCAGAGCTGAGGCCAGAGATCCTTGGGATCATCGTCTAGTGGTGCAGGGTATTCGTGCAAGTAGCGGATGCCTTTTTGGTACTTCTTGATACCTAACTCGAGGTCGCCTTTCTTGAAGGCATCGTTGCCCATGTCCTTCAACTTTGTCGCAATCTCAAGAATTTCAGTGCCTTTCCACTCCTCATCAGCGGACTTTTGGTCCTCTGGGAAGTCTTCGTATGGATCACCAGTTGCGTCGGAGACCTTCTCGGTTGCCTTGTCGTAATCCTCGCCCGTGAGCTCACCGCAGTCAATGATGGTGGCATCTTGCACCGGCTTGTCGCCGCTCTCTGTTTGAAGGTTCTCGATTTGGCGCACGATGCTCTTGCCATTGATAACCTCACCGAATACGACGTGCTTCTTATCGAGATGTGGTGTAGGGACTGTGGTGACGAAGAATTGCGAGCCGTTCGTTCCTGATAATTTGTTAGCCGACTATGTCACAGAATCTGCTGTGAGATTTGTATCCGACTTACCTGGCCCAGCATTCGCCATGCTCAGAAGGAACGGCCTGTCGTGGATCTTCTCAAAGTTCTCGTCCTCGAACTTCTCGCCATAGATGCTCTCGCCACCAGTGCCATTACCCTGAGTGAAGTCACCACCCTGGATCATGAAACCCTTGATAACCCGGTGGAAGCTTGAGTTCTTGTAGTGTAGGGGTTTGCCGGATGCGCCTTGGCCCTTCTCGCCAGTACATAGCGCCCGGAAGTTTTCGGCAGTCTTGGGAACAATATCACTGTACTGATTGATTTGTTAGTCCGTATATACGCACATCGTAGTAGAAGGATGTATTGGCGCGTGAAGTGCCAATGGGAGGGTAGAACGTACAAGCTCAAAGGCAACACGACCGGCCTTTGTGCCGCCAATCGCAATATCGAAGAAGACGCGTGGGCGCTCTGGCCTCAGTCAGCATTTGTGTTCAATAAGTGTTCATGCTTAAAGTTGGGTGTATCTTACTAGAGTCAGCCATTATTGCTCAGTTGTAGTTGTAGTGTATTGGAATATGAGGTGAAGATGTGCAACAAGTACAGAGTACGATTGGTCGCGTGGATTAAGAAAAGTGTATGGTATGTGTTTTGGCGTTGCGAAGCTGGGTAAAAGCATGCAGCCAGCCATCCAGAACTTTCCACGAAGCTACAGCCTACAGCCTCATGCCGCGCCAAGCCCGCTTTTCTGGCATCGGTACGACGCCAGAAAGGACCGATCGCATTGCTTTTCCGATTGCATGAGGCCAGGTAACGTCAGGCGGGATCGTGATAAGAATGCGACCATGGTAACGTGCTTGTTTGGAAATCGCATGGGTCTTGTAAACATGAATTGGTGCTCATGAAGAGGGGCAATGCGGGGTAAACATCAACATCCGCTCCCTGTCCGTCTGCAAAGCCGTTACAAACGTCTCGTTTTCATTCTTGCCACGCAGTATTTCCCCATAAGTTCATGCAATCTCACTGGATCATAACGGATGCCCGACCGAACGGCTGCTAATTACTAGACGAGCCAAATGGTCATTCTTCTCCCTCACGACCTTCACGCCAGGCAGAATGGAATCAACTTGTAAAAACAGACATTTTTTTCTTCTTTTTTTCCCTAACATAATGCTATCCAACCTGCTATAACCTATTCATTGGGATTACCGCCTAGCAGACATTGAGAATGGAATGGCCGTCGAAACCAGCTCATTCTGATCGTAGTGATACGTGAAGCCGCCCTGCAGTGTCCTTCTCAGCGCATTGAGTCTCTGCAACTTCCACCATTTATCAATCCTGACTTCGACGTTCCTGTTGATCTTAACTTTCATCCTGCCAGATCCGTATGCCCTACCAGTCTCCTCGTGCAGCGCCATGGAGTACGCCGGGCCGCGACTGGGCTTCTCGACAGAGTTGCGAATATCTGCAAACGAAGAGTGCAACGCTTTGCGATCCTTTTTGGATATGCGGCGAGTCGAGACGTTGGCAAGCTCATCGAGGGTATGTAGGAGCTGGTCTTGTCTTCGGTATACCGTGTAGCGCTTTACCAACTTCTGCCCATCTCGGACATACTCGGGATCATCGCGGTCATCCCCTTCAACCTCCTCATCCTCCTCTTGTGGAGTAAGTGATTTTTCATACAAAAGCGCAATATTCTCTCCAGCTGCGATTTGCACACCTGAGTCTGCGCTCTCGAGTTGCTCTACAAAAGCTTCCATGGCAGCCTCGGTCTCTTCTTCTAGGTCCTCGATCTCAGTCGCCAGCAGACCCCACTCCTCAAGTGCAGCAATCACAACCTCGCCTTCATCTTGCGCATCAATAGAAGCACCGTCCGACTCGACAATCTCAAGGAAGAGGTTCATAATGTCCAAAATCTCGTCGTCACCTGCTCCAGCGAAGAAGGCGGTGGTGCCTAGGGTGTGGATGGCATTGACCTTAACGGGGATTGAGGATGATGATTGGATAGATCGCTTGAGTTGGTCGGCGACATCGTCGTAAATGGAGTCGGAATCGAGAGTAACAGCAGTGACTGCGATCGCTAATAGTTGTGAGCAAAGTGTCATTATTTCCAGATGATATGCATACCTTTCAAGGCCTTTACAGCCTCGTTTTCTGTGGTTTCTTGTCTGACGCTCCTAAGCATAGAAGAAATCAGGTCGTGGGTGCGGTCCTCGATCTCGTCCCTCGCATAGCGGGCCATGAGTATGTGCGCATAGGCATTTAGGCTTTCGGTGCGCCCCTCGGTGCTGCTGCGCTTTAGGTTGGTAATTTGCTCGATGCGCGTATGGAGCTCCGCCTTCCATGCATCTTCAGGAATATTGACATCTTCGCCGTTGAGAATATCGTCGATGGATGCGGTGCTGTTCAAACAAAATGTCAGTACTTGTTGGTCGACATTGTTTTGGGTGATGATGTCACCAGGCGCGATCTACAGTCTGGCGAGGCAAACCAAAAAAAAGTTGTGTGCGGCGCTGGACACTCACCTCCATGCAGTTCCGTCACTCAGCTCGTCTTCATCGTCGGTATCGTGTCGGCTGCGACTGGCGGCACGCGACTGTGCTGGTGATGCGACTACCGAGTTTGATTTGGAGGCTGTAGTGGATGCGACGCGCGAGCGAGCCTTGCGCGAGACGGTCTTGTGGCTCTCGAGAGCCTGCTTACGGAGGTCGCGCATTCTGGATTATGTCTCGTAGGCTGGATGAATTTTTGGGACAAATCTCGTTACAACAACCTTTTCGGAGCTGTAGCTTTGAGGTTGAGCTTTGTAGGTAGTTGGTACCCAGCGGCGGATTGCGGGGAAGCCAGAGTAGGAAGGCAGTTATTCCAAGGGTAATGAGTCTCTAAATTCAGTCGTGGATGTATATGAGTTAGGTTTGAAAGACATGAGTATGAGTCAGAGAAGACAGCGAGATAGCAAGTCCGAGGCAAATAGGAGGGAGGGAGATGTGGTTGTTCACAAGGCAGCCGGCTGGTGTCAGTCGTTCCTCCCAAACGACTTGTCCCGAGTGGATGGTGGCCAAACGGCGCTAACCGTCGCATACGTCATATCCATCCAGTCTTCCATTTACTACAAACCTTCTACAACACGTTACCTGACCACACTGACTTAGATACTTTTTGGATATAGGGATATGCTTGACACTTACTGTCTCTTTTGAGTTTATTATCTCTTTAAGTAGTTTTTGATTGCCGCCACGGTAAGACTAACCTGATGTGTTGTACTTAGCGACAGCTTCGTGTCAGCCAAATGGTCGTGACACTGATTGGCCGCTTCTACTCTATCTTTTAACTAAGAAAGCCTCCAGGATTAAGACCAGACTTCGAGAACAGCTGATATCAGGCTTCTTTACCAAAAATGGGCTCACGTCATATTCTTATCTGGGGCCACGCGCCGCAGCCGCACAGGTAGACGCTTTCTGTCTACAGTACTGTCAGATGATCTACACTTTGGCGCAATTTTTATATTCAGTTAATCAAGTCCGGTCGGGCCACATCAACTCCTCGCCTGGTCAGCTGCAGAATGCGTGGTCATGTTTACGCCAGTCACCTCCCGACCAATCGGTCTGACATGTGTATCTCCGTTAAAGCCAACCTCGGCCTTGGGTCTAGACTTCATGTGGCAGACCATACGGTCGCGATCCTGTGCCAACGCAATGCGCGGTTATCGGTAAGCGCGCTGCGGGATATGGTGATATGGTCGGAGTTCCATGCCCAAGATGAGACTTTTTATCAACACGGAATCCTCACGTCGTACACTTGGACATGGATGTAGTAATCATATCGTGGCCGTACGCCACTTTTTTTTGTCATGGCCGCATTCCCAGATTTGTAATACTTAATTGTGGTGTTGGCACATGAATCAACAACCCTCGACCACATGCGACCACTCGAAAGCAGTCTCCGCCTCCCGAGGCTGATGCGGCACAGTAGCCAAGCGCCGTAAATATATCTCATTCGCTAAGATACGACGTGATACTCGTTTGTCGCTTAACAAGGATCTGAACGACACGTGCAAGCCTTACTCACGTCCAGCCTCACGACGACACATCACGGCTTGGGGAGGATGAGGATAAGGATGAGGCCGAAAGTGAGACCAATATGACCCGGCACAAACCAACAATCAGCTACACAATCCAACGGGAATAAGCAGTCTTTCAAACTGCGAGGTTTTGGCGCTTTTTCTGGCGTAGGTACATAATATCTGACATGCAAGGCCCGCCATCTCAGGCGTCCCGTATGAGTAGCATGCGTGGAAGTGGAGCAGCCCTGGACAAATGGTCCTGAACTCAATTCCTTCGTAATTGGTCCGCTCGTACCATGAACACCGCAAGGATATCATAAACCCTAGTTTTTAACAAAAACTAACTGATGCATTGTTGGAAAAGCCATGTGCGCCTCCTTCCAAGCCATGTACATCCAGTTTCAGCTCAAATTCCGTTGCCCAACCCCACAAAATGCCATGCGCATAGATGTAAAAAGAAAAGAAAAACGAAGATCTAGCTGAAGCTGACGGCGTAAAGAACAAGGGCGGCAAATCGAATGTACGGGCAACGCAGAAAAAAAAAGGTCGACCGACCAACCTCCCAAGCGAATCAACAAAAGCAAACAGCTCAACCACCTATGCAACCATGCATCTAGAGCCGGCCTCGGGGCAAATAACTCTCCGGAAAAGCCCATCTGCTGAGCCGCAGCCACCATCCTTCCAGTAAAACGTCCTAATATGCATCGTACTCGGTGCCCTTTCTTTTCGCATGCCGCGGAACCCTCCCTCCCTTGCCGCAACATGCCACCCCCCTCCCTCTGTAAACCGCACAACCGATAACGCAGAATCCCTGCTCCTTGTCCTTTGCATTCTCGCCACCCGAAAATAATCGCTCCAATACATAATAGGCAGCAATTACGATCGTGACGTTCGATGCTGGATAGTTCCGATAATCATGATACCCACATACACACACACACACATGATGCACTATACGGCTTTTTTTGTTCCCTTTCTTTCTTGTCTTTTAACTCTGTGCACCGCCGCCTACGCCAGCGCCCTCAGGCCACCCAAACGGAAACGCCGAGCGCTCTCCCGGCTTCCGTCTTGGGATATCAATGTGGTGGAAGTTACGGAGGTGCTCGACTAGGTGGTCTCTGCGCGTGAAACCTTTTTCGCCTACGCGGTTGCAGCGGGCGACGTGGCAAGGGTACTCGGGTGTGCCTACGCCGTGGACGGTGGACTGGTGGCGTTGCAGGTCGGCCAGGCGCGTGAAGTGCGCTGAGGAGGTGCAGGAGGGGATGTCGCAGGTCCATGTTCTGTAAAATAGGGGGGGTAAATGTTAGACAAGTGAAAGGATGGGGGGGAAGAAAGAAAGAGAGAGTAACGTACTTTGATCGTGTTGTACTGCTTTTGCTTCTGTTGATAGTCGACATGTTAAACTCTTTTTCTCTCTCTTGGGATTGGATGTGTATGATTCTAATTAATGAACATACCTTTTATGACTTTGAGCCGTCGATA